GGGGGTTGCAAAAATTCAAATGGGGGGGGGCTAAAGTTAATTGAAAAAGTGTTTAACGTGACGACAATCAAAAATATATTACGAAATTTCCAGATGGAAAGTAGATTAATTAATAACAATATTTATATTATTGAATTCAATTAGTTAAAATAGGATTTTAGGATAGTTTAGGATTCATGTAGGAAGTTATTATTCAAGATTATCTAAGACGTGAGATCTAAGAGGGAGCGCACGGGATGACTCAACTGCTGTGATAGATAAAAGATTACGTGTGACAGACACGTCCAGCTACCGCGACTCAGCACAGAACGCTTTGTTGACATAAAGCTCGTTAAAATACAAACAAGTAGCATAGGCTACAATACTTTACACTATTGTGTAGATACTCGATTACCTGAGTTAATAGGGAGGGGGGTAATGAAAAATACGGTTGATCCAATATAGTATAAAAAGAGATGACAAACCCATTAAAACGCTGTAAACAGCCATTAACGTCACGATTTGCATTTTTGTAAACGAAATTCAATATTGCACAATCATTATTTATTGTGCAATTACATTATTATTATACATTTAAAATCATTTATTTTGGTTCAGTGTTCAGTTGTACAAACGGCAACGTTTAAAATTATAGCTAACTCAAACTCAACCAATAATAACTAGCCAAACACGGCATTGCTATAGATAACGTAAATATTAAAGGAACCTTTAGAAAGTGTTATAAGCTACTGCTCATGATAGACAGATAGGCTACCGATAGGTGCTGTATCACAGCATATGAATTTGATAGATAAGTTAAAAAAAGTGTAAAATTATATTTAGAGATAATAAAAACCCTTTAAAAAAAGAATGTAACTAGAACAATCTTGTTATTCTTTTTCTTTGTTCTTCTGTTCTTTATTAGGTTTCTCTTCAATTCATACACAAATTCAACAAGTCGCCATATTTTTAGGCCTACTCATTGCCCAATCACAACCTTACTAAAGTTACCATGGTTACTAATCACTCAATCACTAAGCATTATATCGTCATCATTCCCCAGCTGTTGTATCTGAAATCTGTTATAACATAGCGCACAGCAGACAGAAGTGTAAAACGGAGCAGACGATTGTTGGCGCAAGCGTTGTTTCCATTTCATTTTCATCAAATGAGCTGTGATGTTTCCAAAGGGAGGGAGAGGGGGTCGTTATATCAAGAGAAAGACGCTGACAATTCGTTAAGCATATTTTACAAACGCTATATAGATATTCTGGCAATTAAAAATTCCTTAAATTGAGGTGACCTATAAAGCTCTAATTTTTTTTATATAGAAAGATAAGTTTTCCAGTCCTGTACAACACTGATTCGCGGTCTTTTCCAGGTAATCAAAATTCAAATACAACTTGATACACACAGAATCTCCGGTTCCCGACCTGGATGATAGCTAGTTATTTAATTTAATTTACAGTTACATATTACCCGTGATAAATCAAACCCGTTATGCAAGCCAAAGCCACACGGTTATTAATCTCACTTATGGTTTTGAATTTGCTTACAAACGTGATCAGAAATGGTTAGGGCCTACACAGTATTTGTAAACAACATTTATGTAAACATTTCAGTGACAGCTAGAAAAAGGAATCTTTATCAAAACAGCTGTTCGTAATTTCATATATGACGTGTTCTCTTAATAGATTATTAGTATTTAATAAATGACGTATGTAGTAAACATGGAGAAAAACTAGAAAAATCACACCAAATTGGGTTTTTGATCGTCCGTTATTTTATTTCCAAAATAGTGAGGCCATATTTTAATGGCTAAGGACACTCTCGCCAATCCTGTGAATACAATTAAACCATTAGAATCATAATCAATACTCTAGTTTTTTTAGAGTAGACTGCGTAAGATGCCTTCCGGGCCATGGCAGCCGAACATAAATTGAGATAACGTAAAATAACCCAAAACGAGCTGTTGGCCCGTCCTACGTACGGGAATCGAGTAGTCCATTAAAATTGTATATAGTGTGTCTATTACTAATTCAAGCATAGTTTAATCAGCTCAAGATTTATAGTAAAGAAAAAGCTGCCAAGATGAATTAAAACATGTTTTCATTGTTATTTTCCCAACTTTTCATAAAAATGTCGAGTAGTAAAATAATTTTCATAAGCTTTCTTTTGAAGATTCGTGAGCTTTGATTAGTATACAGCAATGGTTATAGAATCTTACTTATTTCCTATAATCAATGACAAAATCACAGAGTAAATAAACTAACCTAATAGTTTTATAGAATATTTTTATATCCATCCAGCTGGTAGTTATAACAAATTATATTGCACTAAAACAAACTAAATATTTTAAAGACTGCTCAAAAAATAAATTAGAACATCTAGTATTTTATTATGTGTATTTAAATAAACTCTCATTCTCTTACCGAATAAATGAACGTATCAATGATTGAAAGCATTACACATATTAAAAATAAGTCAATTCTACGTATGTCATTTCATTTTCATCCAAAGGCTGAATTTGTGTCGAAAACGCTGAATGTTTACAGCTGTTGCAAATGATATTATGTCAAAAGCTAGAGTAGAATGTTAGCGTCGGCTGCTAGACTTTTTAAAATTTTAAACTAAATTACTAAAAAACTGAAACCCTAAACTAAAATTATGGCTTCGACATTCCCTAGTTCTCAAAATTATCTTTCTTTCAACACAAAAATCATGAAAATTCGTCAAGTGGTTGATTCAGAATCGTGAAATAAAAAAACCCTGTCACTTTTAATATATAAGATATGTATCATTCTGAGCAATGTACAGACAAAACTATAACTTTATTTATATAGATAACTGGGTTTTCAAATAGTGCTGGGCGGGGGAATTATGTTTCTCGTTTGTTGTGTACCTCTTTTTTTGGTGGGGGGGGGGTCTGTCGCTCAATGGGGGGGGGGGGGGGGTGCGTCATGAGTCTAGGGGGGGATGGGCACCCCTGACTTACAAAGACAAATAATAGGTGAAATGGGAGATTTTTGGACAGTTAGACACAGATATAGACATTAATAATGGCTTTAGAAAGTCAGTAAACAGCTTTTAGGAGTATATGGCTGTTGCCTACAATATGTTTTGAGATTTATGAATGCTATCGTCATAGGCTAGTTAGTTTAAAAAATGTTGTGTATTCATGACAAATAAATGGGTAAATTGGAGATTTTGCACACAGTTCTAGACGTTAAAATGGCTTTAGAAAGTCACCCAACGGCTTTTAGGAGGATATGGCCGTAGTCTACAGTGTGTTTTGAAATTCATGAATGCAATCGTCATAGTTTAATTTTTTAAATGTCTATTTGCTCATGACAAACAACAGGTGAAATGGGAGTTTATGGACAATTGGGCACGGTTTTAGGTGTTAAAAATGGCTTTAGAAAGTCACCAAATGGCTTTGAAAATTCCAAATTTTACCGGGGGAAGATCCACCGGACCCCCCTTCTTTATTGGTAGGTGCTCCACACCCCCCAAGCCCCCCGGTCACCCCCCTTTGCAAGGTCCTAGAACTGCCACTGGCTGATTATATTTAATTTGGAACAAGCTGTTTCTTAAAGCAGTTAAGGTTCATTAGTTGTTTAAAGATGTATCAGCTTAAAGCTTCTATAAGCACATCTTATACTCTGATAACACTAGATAGCCTCAACTGATAAGAGCTCATCAGGGTGTTGACTGTATGACCCAAGGTTATATGGTTATCACTTTTTTGCTACCCTCCTTGGCTTGACTTTTAACAAGCTATAATATATAAAAGCACATGGAAAAAACCAAATGTACAGTATTATCCAAATCATTGTAATGAGGAACTCCAGAAAAAGTATATATTGGTTTTACAATTTAGACAAAATAGTAGCCCAATGCTGTTTTGAATCATAATTTTACACAAATAACATTTTAAAATTGTATTATTTTTTGCCAAATTACACTATAAGACGATTTAGACCAGAAAATGGTGTCCAAATCTACACTCACCAGTTTTGAATTTTTAACATGGGCTTTCCTCAGATATTACCTTATAAGGGGTCGTAGAAGGTTTGTTTAGCAGCTTACAGTTGACTGTACGGAGAGCTTATTTACTATTTAGCAGCCTTCTCATATGTTGTTACCTGGTATTTTACATTACATTTTACATTACATTATTTGTCATGAGAGCCGAAGCCCCCGGCTGACTACGTACCCGGTACCTGTCGTGAGACTTACCCGGGCCCCATGATGTAGGCCGAAGCTTACACATCAACCTTTAGCACATCATGGGCGGATGACTTAAGGTCATCAGGCTCGCCGGCTGCCGAAGCAGACCCTTCGGAAAGAGGGTTGCCCCTCAATCCTAACCAGGGATTCCGGCTGCTTGTTTAAGCGTCACTCCATCTGGGTTCCACTAGGTCGGGACCTAGAGGATCATAATGGAGCGCCCCGACGCATTTAGTGCAAGCAACACTCGGGACCTATCTAATCCCTGACAGGCAAACCCGCCATCAATAGCCAGAAGGAAGGGGACCGTCAGCACCTCCCATTTACACCACTACCCAATCGAGGCCTTACCCAGTTGCTGGGAAACCAGAGATAACCAGAGCGATAGATCCCCAGATACCCCTGGCGGGCTCGGACCCAGCACCCGATCTACTTCGTTTGCCCGTCAGACCCAACATCACTGCCAGGCCATCAGGGTTTCCCAAAAGGAGGCAGGTATAGAAGTGGGACCCACCCGGATGAACCTATCCACCAGAGGTGGCGACAACCCCCCACACTCAAGATAACCATACTGTCCGTGCTCAGAGACACGGTTACTTGGTATCAAGGTAGAGAACTACGGTCATCTATACCACAGTGACTTCACTACGCCCGGCCTCTTGTCAGAGTTAAATTACTCATTCGAAATGGCCATTGAAATATTACACTCGCATCAAATTTTGAACCATTACAAGTCTACAGAATTTAAATTCCTACTGTACTGAAATGCATCTTGATATTGTTTGTTGCAGAAAGGCATCGAGACGAAAGCTACCCAGAGTGTTCCCTCACCAGTCCTCAACCTGACCGATGTGAACTCCTCCGTAACCATCTCACGGCTGATCAGTTCCATTGGCTGGGAGTATCTCCGCACAACTCCACTCTCCCGTAAAGACGGAGGATGGGACCTCGTGGGCAAACAGCGGGGCTTCCAGATGATCAACCCGACCAATGATTGGTTTCCTGGTAAGAAATCAAAAACTGGTAGTTTTATTTTCTTATCCTTTAGGTTTTAGCCTGGAATTTTTTTCTTTATTGTTTCTGGCTAGTAGAGATGAGCCTCAATAGGTACACCATCGATGGTAACAACGATGTCAACCATCCATGTACCGATAACATTGTCGCGAAAAAATCAATGTTTTTGGAGCTAAACCATCAATGTTTATTTTGTTTTTCGTCTGCTCTTTGTACTGCAACAGCGAATTAACCTGAAACTAATGCAATTCAATAATGGAAAACATCAGTGTTCCAATACTTGGCCTAAACCATCGATGTTCGACAAAAACATCGATATACCAAAATCGGTAATCTACCATCAATGTAAAATCATCTAGCATCGATAGAAAAACATCAATGATTGAAATCATCGAATATCGATGCTCATCCCTAGTCTAGAGGGCGTTGCAGCATTAATACTTAGATAAAATCCATTGGAGATTGACGGGATTTGAACACAGAACCTCAGGTATAAAAACCTACACTCTAACACAAGATCAGCTCAAATCCCCTGAACACGGGTAATTGATGATGCATAAATACTGTGCGTTGTTTTAATCTTTTTTAAAAGCTTTTGCGTTCATAATATTGGACGCAAGACTAACATAATCAAACTAGGTATCTATGCAGTTATGATTAGAAAATTATACAGCTAAGATATATCTTACTTGTGCTGCAACTCCAAGTCAAGTTTAAAATACAGCAAAAACCTGATTTCTGAAAATGAAGGGATCTAGGACGTCTCAAATAACCTATTTATCAGTTTGTCAATGGTTGGAATCTAAAGGCTATTTCAGTTCAACAAACAACTGTAAAAGTTTTTATATTTTTTAATCACTGTCATCTTAAAATCTACAGCTCTAAATACAAAATCTAATTCTTAAAAAATTAACTGGTTTTATGAACCTTATCTTTATCATGATAAAATATCCGTGTCATTGTCTGTTCCCATTAAACTCTGTTGGCCAACTGCCTGTGCCATGGCTGACCAAGCCTGTAGCCAAGCTAATTTTCAATCGATTAAAATATTTGATTTGATCTTTAGTCTACTTGAGTTTCAGTTTAATGGGGCCCAGTTAAAAGGGGTTTTAATGTGTTACGCATGAAATTACATTATTGCGTAGTCTCAAATCACTTTAATGAATGAATAAAGGTTATTTTACCTTTACACTCACTCGGGCGGGTTATTCTATAACTTCTACAGGTAGATGAAAATGGTTTGGCACTATGTCGCCTTCTTTAGATCCTTATCAAGAATAACAAGATCAATTCTTACGAGTATGTGAAGCCCACTTTCTTCTAAATGCTTGGAATTTTGAGAGAGTTTGCACTTTTTGCAGCTGGAATAAACTGAAATATTTTTCGAGTTTGGTTTTTCTCTGAGTTTGTTGATTACAGGACTGGAACAAATCAGAGACGAGTTCCAAAGCTGGGATTGGAGGTTTGGGAAGACGCCCAAGTTCACCGTCACCAGATCGTTTCCCCTGCCTCGGCACATCACTGTCGGCGGCCGAACTGTCGAGACCAGGGCAGAGGAACAACTAAAGGTTAATACATTAAAGCAAAATTTAAATTGACTTTCACTCAACAGCTCAATACAGGGTGTCTGGTCATCAGTGTTACAAAATTGTTTGGTGTAAGTACAAAGTAAACGACGTGTGATGATGCATAAGAGGTTCGAAGTCTAAAAATTAGCTTCCCAAAGAATTATTTTTAAGTTTTCCAAAAATAACCATGTTTTTAAACACAATAAAGCAATTTCTTAATTGCCTGTAAATTGAGCTCACTCACACACACCATTCTAATTGAAGCTGATTGGATCGACTGATGTCACTGACTATGGATGGAACTAGACGTTTTATGTTTTATCCCCGACGGGCAAACAATCAAAACACCCAAACAAACAATCAATCAAAACCTGGCAACAACTTAGTATTTTGATAGTAGAGATTAAATGTAGTAAAATTGACCCACTGACTAAATGCACTGATGTAGATTACTGGTTGTATATTTCCTCACTAGGGACTAAATTTACTATTTTTGTCCCGAGCTCAAGGTCGGAAAATGAGCGAGACACTTTTAGCCCGTTTGATGAACTATGCTTCGTCATATTGCACCATTATTTGAATATAGTAGTTTACGCAACGATTGCATTAAGTGAGTCTTTACGACACAAGTAGAAAATTTAAGGCACGAGCCTTGGCGAGTGTCGTAAAGACTATTAACGCGAGTTGCGTACACTACTTTACCTACGACCGTTTTTTAATTACTATCAATATGGATTTAATTACTAACAATCACTAATGATAACTTTTTAGAGAGGTTATGTTTTCGTGTATTGTCATTGCCACTGAAAGTGATGCAAGGACTTGTTGTATAATCAGCTGATTTCCTGTAATTACGTGTTTGTTAAACTTCGTTAAATATTACATTGCTAGCAGCATTCTTACCATAAATAATATTGTATCAGGTACAATTCGGCAAATATTTAATTTATTTTTGGACTTCCACCAACTTAATTAAGAATACGCGAGTATCAACATGAACAAGTCGGATCAACAATTAAATTGGTCAACTGATCAGCTGATCAGCTGATTAGTTGACCTTCGAAGCATTACAATTTTAATTCTTTTCTCTCAATACTTGAACCTCATTGGTCCGTTACCTGTGTGGATATGAGAAAACTATGCGGATATGAAATGAAACTATGCGGATATGAAAGTAAACAGCTGTAAAGTGAAACTTTTCAATTCTAAGAACTGGACTGAAATGGTTACTTTAAAAAACGGTCGTAGGTAAAAGTACGTTACGAAACTAAAATAGTTTTCATTTAAAGATAACCTCTCAAAACTACTTCTAACTTATTAAAACGTTTTTATTAGGTCGCTTTCTTGTCCGCTACAAATTTTGCAACCGATTTTATACTAACTTCCCGATGAGCTAGGGACTTGAAACTTGAAACATATCTCACAAATGGAAGACAATGCAATATTATACAATTTAATTTTCATATTTCCCTTGGGCTACGCCCCATGGACTTGTTTTTATTAAATCGATTTCTTGCAAATTTTGATACTTCCCGATGAGCTAGAGACTTGAAATTTGAAACATAGCTCACAAATGGATGACATTGCAATATTATATCATTTAATTTTCATATTTCCTTTCGGGCTACGCCCCATGGGCTTGTTTTTATTAGCTCGCTTTCCTACAAATTTTGATATCAATTTTAAACGATGTTCCCGATAAGCTAGAGACTTGAAATTTGAAACATAGCTCACAAATGCATGACAATGCAATATTATATCATTTAATTTTCATATTCCCTTGGGCTACGCCCCATGGGCTTCCAAATTTTTCATGTTTACATTTTGAAAGGATGTAAATATATCAACTAATTTAAGTCAGCTGTAAATACTTAAATTTGACAGTTCGAAGAGCAGAGGTTAAGAAGTACAGGTTATGCTCCCAAGAGATTCTTTATACAAACAAACATTTCAAAATAAAGATAAACAATCTGATTGCAGGTATCAAGGTGTTTGTAAATAATGTCAATTTTTGTTTATTTAGTATTCTATAAAGTAAACAATAAATATTTCGAGTGAATGCATTGCAGAGAAGTACTATATTTCAGAAACATTGCGATTAAATAGATTGATATATTTATAGTTAGTAGGTAGGCCATACATGCAATCTAATACATAATTATATGCAAAGAAACTCAAATAAACCTTAGATTTCCCACATGCCTCTGTCTTAATCTGATATAGATGCTTGAAATAGATTTAACATGCACACACATTAAAACTAAAAAGTATAAAATAATTTATAAATAAAAAACTTTTTTAAACAAAACGTTTTTAAACGCCCTAAAAAGTAGAAAATAATTTACAAATAATTTATAAATTTGTTGAGAGAGTATAAATACTTGTACGATTTAAAACGAAAAACGTTGGGTGCATGCAATTAATTGATAATAATACAATCAACATCAACAATAATAATACAAGTTCAGTAGGTGAAGGTAGTTGTAAACTATCTATTGCATGCACCCCATGTTTTTCGTTTTAAATCGTACAAGTATTTATACTCTCTCAACATATTTATAAATTATTTGTAAATTATTTTCTACTTTTTAGGGCGTTTAAAAACGTTTTGTTTAAAAAAGTTTTTTATTTATAAATTATTTTCAATTTAACTTGCTAAAAGAAACAAGCAGCTGTTTAGTATCCAATTCACTTGTTTCGTCCATTAGAATTGTATTAGTGTACATTATACTATCGACATGTCAAACTATTTACAATAAGGTAAACTATAAGGCTAGGTTATTAACTATAATCGATACGTACTTTCTATACATGCGATTGTTTCCCATCGAAATTGACAACTGAGTTGACAACAGCTGATTTTTTACTCCCTAGAGAGTAGAAATGGTACTTCAGACCCACAACACATGCACTAAAAACTGCTGTTTTTGCTGCAATATGACAGACATTTTGTTTACACCAACTTTTTTACTGAGCAAACAGAAGTAAATCATGTTTTAAGCTGTAGAATCTCTTATGATACATAAACTATTTCGGTTGCAAAATGAATGGAGAAAATGTAACTTTAGACTGTAGCGCACACTGTAAATGACACTTTCAGCTTTTTTCTCTTTCAATTGAAACTAGGCTACAGCTAGTTGAAATAGACAGGCAAGCCCTAAGGATGATGTAAATCCTTTTTTGCCTCTCTACACAGTAATCTAATGGTTTCTGTACTATTTGTAGACCAGTAAGTTATTGTTTGCAGAAAGGGTTTGGTAAAATCAGCTGGAGTGCGGTAAATTTACCAATCACACTCCAGCCACTACCAGGGCACTTTGGAGTTAAATGGCTCACAACGAAGCATCACAAAAATACTAGACATACTGGACACACTTTGTACTTTTACGATATATACTGGAAAGGTTTAAGCACATTATCTTTGAAAGAAATGATCAAAGTTGTGTTCAATAGTGCGGTATTAATTGGTGTTGTTACATATATGGAACTATGGGTTATATTAATTTAACTTACCCTGTATATTTTTTGCTGCTAGCGTGGTGTTAAGTATTAAACTACATCTGCGAAGGTGTAAACGGTACTTGCAACAAATCAATCTACCCTGTGCATTACTTAAACATCTACTTCACAGTCTTATACTAGTTTTTTTTTCTCCAGGTCACATTAACTGTGGTAAACGGACTGGTAGAAGATGTAGTCATGAAGATCCCTCAGACTCTATCCATGTCCGAGGAGTTTGAGGAAGACCTCAAGATGATCACTTCAATCCGAGGTCATCGGTTCACGGAGGAAGCTCTTGACGAACTCAACGCTTCCCTCGGAGCTCAAATCCACAGAGACGACGGGAAACATTTTGTCACAGACTGTGTCCGCAAAGTTATGGCGTCCGTTTGACGACAATAACTCAACTGATGTTTCAGTTGCCACTCGGATAGGATTCCACGTTAACTTGGTATTACAAAACTCACTAAAATGATCAGAAGTGTACTTATGTATATTTGTTTATTGTAATTATACCTTATGTATAATTTGTTAAGTTTGTTAGCTGTAGAATATTTTACTGTATAGTGAAAGTAATTTATTTTATGAGGAATTGTCCGAAGTGGAATAAAATGAAAAAATGTATTTTAGTTTGTTAATTTATCCTCCTATATCATTAGTCACATGGATTCTCCAGTAATAATTTTTAAGTAATATAGTTTTTGAACACATCAAAGTCATCTTTCTATGTGCACCTTTTTCATTCCCTTTAATAATGTCAATACCTACTTTCTACTTTATTGTGTAGGGACTCTTTATAAAACTATATATACCTTCCACATTAGTCTTAGAATGTTTTCTTGTTTCTATGCCATTTAAGTTTTTAATTGTTCCGTACAACCTAAATCTTGGTCTTGTTACCATCTAACGTCAACTGATCAATGTAAGCATAATAATTAATTTGATAACCTAATTACAAAAATGGAACCTGGGTCTAGAAACTATCTCAATTGAAATCAAACCAGCAATCTTTTCAGACTTGAAGGTGATCGTTATAAGCACTCTACCCAGAAAATTATCTATTTCTTCTCCTCAAGATTCAGATTTTAAAGTAAAGTTTAAAATCAAACTAGCTGTTTGGCCCGCTCTTTGCTCTGGCAATGTTTTGTTATATAAATTAAAAATGCAGCTGTAAAAACTGATTAATGTGTTGACTGACGTTCTTGATACAGTCATTGAGATACCTTCCATAGGTCAAATATCCCATTGTATAAAGAAGGCATGAACCTTTTTCCATATGAAGAGACGTCCAAACCCCACCAAAAAGGTGTAGGTACTTTGTTCATAAAGTAAAAATCCAAGATACATATTTCTAAAAGAAAGAAAACATAAAATTACACAAATAAACGGTGTAGTGTCTTTCAACCAGGACGTGAATGAGCCATGCGAATACTTATGAAGTTAAACGGGGCAAAGCCCGCGGGGACAGCTAGTTTAAAATAAAAACATCACCAATTAATATTTCATGAATTTTTGATTTTATGAGGCCTTTCACCAGCTATGGGCATCATCAGATACATCACAAAAATTAAATATTGGTGATGTTTTTATTTTAAATTGTATTCATTCCATTATTACTAGTTCTTCTTGAAGATGGTGTATGATATTGATAAACCATAAATAAAAAATAAAAATCTCCATATGAATAACAAATGAACTTGGAAGTCCCGTGGTCAAAATTCTGGCTCCATCACGACCTTCTACACAAAATGACCTTCCAATTAAAAAAAGAATCATCAAAATCCGTCAAGCAGTTGTGCAATCTGCGTGAACTAAATGACCAATATTTATTAATATATAGGGTTACTCCTTATTCATCAACTAGTTAAAAGTAGTTAAAACAGTTTTTTACAAGAATTACAAGTTAGATACAAACAATAAACAGATTTATTGGCTAAAACAAAAAAAACTGAGAAGACATAACAAACATGACAACTGTTCTGGTAGGAGTGGTGATGTTAAAGACAAGATTAAACAATATAGTTGAATTAATTAATTTGGTTACTGCAAGTAGGGTCTCATTGTAGATTAAAATCTTAAGCCTGTTTTGATGTTTGTTTCACGTTATAAATAAAATAAATAAGGTCTTTATTCATGAGCAAATTTCAGTTACAAAACTGTTTTACAAATTGACTCAAGTCAGGACTTAAACTAAATAAAACCTCTTATAACTACGAAACAAAATAAGATTAGTTACAAACTCTTTAGGTGATTCTTAAAACTGTTGTAAGACAGTGCTTTTAGCTTGCAAGGAAGTGCATTGTACTGAGCCGGCCCGAAGTAAGAAAACCCCCCTTCTACCAGCATCAAGAACAACCCTTGGTATGTCAAGCAACAAGTCCTGTCTAGTTCTGCGCTCTCTCACGGCCGACCTCGCTTTCAGTTTTTCCTTCAAGTACTGTGGTGCCTGAGTGACCAGTGTTTTGTGGACGATACATGCAACCTGCTTATCACAGCTCTCTCGGACGGACATTGTATTTGAGATCCTACGGTGACTTGTTATATGATCATATTTTTTAAGTTTGTATACGAACCTTAGGGAGCAATTCTGTAGCCTGTTCGTTATGTAGTGGCTGGTTACTTTTGAGCTTGTCAACAGTGAATATTTTTAAAAACATTTTTTGTTTTTGTAGATCATTTAATAAAGTTAAAACAGTATTAAAGTTGGTGCTGTGACCAGAAAACTATTTCACGCAAAATACCACATTTACATCGTGCCATCTTCTGATTCATAAGATTGATATTATCAATTTGGATAAGATATAATGACTGTTTGGTAACAGAAAAGACAATGTACAGTAGATGTTAGGTACATACAGGTGTCCCATTGAATAACATAAATACAAGGTATCGTTAAATATTAAACTCTCTGAACTTCATGGATTGTTCAGTTGTTGCATTGTGTCTGTGCTATGTATTTTTCTTATCTCATGTAGATAAAAATAAAAATTACTTTAATCAAGTTTTTGGTGGACTCCCACATAGTGAAGTCTAGTTAACACTTGGAGACTGAGTCAGCGGAAGTTTCGGATACAGTTAGCAAATTGTTATGAGTCCACACTAGCCAGCCGCCAGCCTTCAGCCAGTGTTTGTTGGTATGGCGACTTAGAAGGATGTCATTTTATCCTGTGCGAGCTTCATACCTCTTTGTTTTCTTTCACTTTACATTGATACTAACTCTTGTAATGAGTCTTGTTTATATGTGGAGGTTTTTGTATTCAACGTTGGGTTAACTCCCACAGTAATGGACGGGAATGAAATTCTTCCATCACTTTCACTGTTTAATGTTTAGATCTTGATTCCACATAAGGACCATTAATTGAAAAATTAATGTTAATGTTAATTAATTAAATTGACAGATTAATTGAAAAACAATTATCGAAAAAATGCCTGGAGATACCATACTTACCAAATTTCATCAAAATCCGACTACAGGTGTGGTATTTAGCTCTGTACACATCCACACACACACAGACATCACTTCGATAACCACTTTTTTGGGTTCGTGGGGGGTTTTGTATGATATATGATTTGTTAAAATAAAATATTCTATATACATACCGTGTGTCCCCAAAGTAATGTTACACTTTTATTTGTTCATAGCAACTTTATTCATGTGACAGGTTAGGTTTAGTTTGGTTAGGTTAGGTTAATGATAGGTTTATTCAAATGAAACATAAGTATTCTATTTTGTACTAATTAACTTTGTTTTATTAGTTACTGTGATTTCGTACAGTTCTAAATTATGTACATTATAACAATATCAAACTTGAAATACAAACTCACAACCGTCAGGGCTGTGAGAGCCAAAATTGACCACCGCGCGGAGTTGGACATGTGCTGCGAGGGAACCGAAGTGACCACCGCCCGGAGTTGGACAGTCGGTTTTGACATATTCCTGACCCCCCGCGCGGAGTTGGGATAAGCCCAGCTGAAGAGGGCCGAATTAAAAACTTAGATGTTTTACTACGTTTGAATTTGAAACACAGATGAAACATACTGATCATCCTTATGGATCTGCTGAAGCCAATAATTGTATTGTTAATTCCGTCCTGTGCACTGTAGAGGTCGTGTTTTGTTTACAATTTGTTTCTGGTTATTTCAGTAATTTAAACCTCGTTTAACCAAATAAAACGATTCATAAACAGTAACTCGTGTTCTAGTTATATAGGTAACCAAACAGTAAAGCACAAATCAATAAATTAACAATAAAATAATAGAAACAGCATTTATTTTATCGACACCAACGATCAGTGTTACCGGACATGAACTAGACACGAAAAACAAGCTTAATTTACAACGGGATGAGAAGTCTACTTGTATTGGTTAATGGTTAGTCTACAGTTGAACCCACAGACCGATGCATGTAGGTGAGAGACCTCTCTGGACTGTAAACCGATGCAAACAAATTGACTGTGAGAACAGATGAGCGATTGCAGCAGCGCGGGAGAAAGCCCGACTTGGACAATCGGCAATACTCGTCACGGTCCGCCTAAATATCCATTAACTACGATCGCGTGCAGAGTTCCATCCACGACAGTTACATCAGCAATGAGACTCATCCCTTGCTGGGGTCACGGAACTGGGCCAGATGCTGGCTATTTTGTTGCGAGAAGAGTTTTGGTATTTTGTTATGTCTTCCATTTGCATCCTAGGACACTAGGTAGTAACAGTTTAACATTTTAATCCTTAAAAGGTCGTGGTGCTGTAATTGGTAGTTGGGTGGATTTGAACCCTGCACCTCCGGGGCTAACGTACCACGTTCTAACTTTCGATCTGACCTCTCTTTTATATTCTATGTTGCTATAGTCCGAAACAGTTTTAACTAACCCAATAGGCTAGTCAAATTAAGGAAAAACATCAAACTAATTGTAAAAGAAACAAAGTAAGGTTTTTTAGATGCGGAATGGTGTCCCGAACAACATATCAAAAGTCTACCAAAATCCACGCGGGGGAAGTCCGCCATATTGGCCGCCATCTTTGATTTTTCAAAAAATCTGAGACTTATGAGTATTATGGCTCTTAAACGACCAAATATCAACCGAATAAGGCAAACAAAGTGTCTATTTAATATAGAATTAAACCAGCTTTTTGATAATGTATAACATGTAGACAATATTCAATGTACAAGAATATTCCTAGTTGTTCACAGCATCATAACACATCTGTCATTAATGATTAGCTGAATTTGATCAAGGCAAATTTGATCAAAATATGTTCATAAAAGCAAACTACATTAGTTGAGTTATTCTCCATAAGAATAACATGGGAATTAAATTTACATTTTTTTTTAATTTTCTCCCTAACTATTAGGCGCATGATAACGCCTCAATATACTAAATTATTTGTTTTTAAGCTCTACAAAATGGTTTGGGAAAAAATTGTGAAAATTTCTGTTTTTAGAATAAAAAACGGGAACACCCTATTTTCACCCCATGGGTTCCATAGTCCGATCATGCTGGTTCGCGAACTCGTTCGAATAAATATAGGTTTACACGTATATACAAAATTTCATCAAAATCTGATCATTTTTGCTCTAGTTATGAATTTGAACGGGTGGTTTTTTTGGGCCTCTAGGGACTTCT